CTTTTTCTTATCTTGTTGCTGTTTGTTTCTGGTGAAGATTTTTCTTTTTCTTTAAGGTGTCAAAATGGTAGTGAAATGTGTACAATATCAGTAAATCGGCCATCACTGAAGTATTAATATCGGGTATTGATATCTGCCCGAATTTTCATATCTGTGCATGTCTAATTTTTTGCATCTGAGTTTTTGTAAAATTACCCCTTCAATCTACTATATATTTTTTTTCCTGGAAATATTGTGATTTTATTCTCATATTAAGACTTTTTGTCTTATTACTTGTATTATTTTTTTCCTCTGATTTTCTTACTTTCGTCTTGTGACACTTTATTCTTACATGATATAATTTCTCATACAACTTTTCTTCAAAAAGTTTTTCTTGGTCTGGCCCAGAAGACCGACTGCCTTTTATTGTGAGCTGCCGTTTGTTTTTGTTCAGCTTAATGACTGAAACATTGTTGGGATTTTCACACCTGTTTCCTGATGTTCATAAAATCGTGTTTTTCATTTTTTTGCAGCTTTCAGCTTGGACACGGAGCAGCCAGACTACGACCTGGACACGGACGACGAGGCCTTCGTCAACAAGCTAAAGAAGAAGATGGAGATCAGCTGCCTTCAGTTTGAGGAGATGATCGACCGGCTGGAGAAAGGCAGTGGTCAGCAGGTCAGCTTTCGCCGTGGCGCTGCAGCTGGAAGCCGCTAGAGACTCAGCGATCTGAGTCGGGTTTCTGGTGTTTTCTCCTCCCAGCTGGTGAGTCTCCCTGAAGCCAAGCTGCTGCTGAAGGAGGACGACGAGCTCATCAAGGAGGTTTTCGACTACTGGAGCCGCAAGAGGAAAAACAGCAAGGCCAACTCCCTGATCCCCACCGTCAAGCAGGAGAAGCGGGACGGCTCCAGCACCGGCGACCCGTACGTGGCGTTCCGACGGCGCACCGAGAAGATGCAGACCAGGAAGGTTCGTTTCCCAACACCCTGCACTCATTTTCACATCTTTTAGGGTTTTTACTGCAAAAGCTGTTGAGTCATGAAGGCGTTTATTGTGAGCAAACAGGCTCTTAGTTCCACCTGCAGGGGTTTCTTTTTTTCCCCCCGTTTCCTCCTTGTTCTTTTGGTGAAGCGTGAACAGACTGGGTGGATCCAGCGACGTAAATGTTCTGCATACTTCAGCTCCGACGTTGGCGCAGTGAACTCTTAGC